CTCCTCACTCCCAAGTGGAGCGTTTTCCACATTTCATTCACTATTTTTAACAGCTACTTGCAGTTTAAATTATTGCTCAGCAACACAGGCTGTTGAGGAAACGTGAATATTCCTGGGATTCAGTGAGTGTGAGCACTTTCCTTCTGCACTGAGGCTGCCACGTCCCTCTGTTGAGATATGCACTAATCCTATTCCGCAGTGTGCACTTATTGCTAATTTTATTGCTTGAGTGGAGCATGCAGTTGTATCTATACCTCCAAAGGCTATTGTTGTTAAATTAATTGAACTGTTTCAAAGCTCCTTTCTCTCTGTTAATTATTTAAAAACAAAATCGAACGTCTTAAAAGAACGATTTACTTCTGAGTGAAACCTAAAGACAATTTTATGTTAGATAAAACACAAATTAATCAGCCACCACTGAATGAGCCTTGCTCAAAAAAAAATCCTGCAATCACTGTATTGATTCCCTCAAAGCATATTTTTCATTTATTGGGACTATAATATTACGTCTGGGCCCGCAGCAAAAAAAAGGGAGAAAGAAACAGAGAAATTGGAACTGTACAAAAGGACAAAACCTTGGCTTAGTTTGATCCCAGCAAAATATTTTTTCCGAATTATGCCTTCATTCAGAATTAGTCACAACTCATTCTAGGTTTATTAACCTATTTATTTTCATGTTCAAAGAAGCACTGCATTCCTATTTATGTGCCACAGTCGAAGAAATTTCAAAAATTTCCTGCTAAACTCTTCCTAGGATGCAGGAAAAGTCTTTGCTAAAAGTAAACTGCGTGAGCAATTTGGTCAGAGGGAGGAGATTTCCCTTGGTAAGCTGTGCTCTATGTCTGTCCCAAACTTTGGCGGCTCTGCTCAAGTTCCTGGCAGCTCAGTGCCCCCCCAGCTGACTCCCTGCCTTCAGCAGAGTTATTGCAGCAAAAAATTTGATTCTTCACCACTGTGAGCATTTTTCAAACGTGCCACAATGTTGTGCCTGCCTCTCATTGCCCTGCGTGTGCTGAAAAGATTGCAAATGCATAGTTAACTCTGCAGGAAAAAATACAAGAGTGTGTGTATGGGGGGGGGGGGGGGGGGAGAGAGCAAAATAAATTTAAAAATCTAGATTCTGCTATTTTCTTCAGTGTGGGGGTCAGATAACATAAAACAAAATATCCAGGAGTTTCAGTGTGTTCATTCATAGGCCAGCCCATCCAATACACCCTTTCATCTTAGATTAAGGAATTATAGCGCTGCAAATGAATTTCACGTCCAAAATCATTCAGTTTGTCCCCTTTGTCTTCCAGAACCCTAAGCATATGGGACCATACTAAGTATAGCAAAAATAGCTGCACTATAATCATAATTAGTACCTATTAGCCCTTCTTAGGTGCAAAACCCCAGTGATGAGAACACAGCACGAGAACCGAGATAGAAGAGGATGTGAGGTCTCAGGAGCACAGCAGTGTCATTGCTGCCCTTGTATTTCGCCAAGCACACGGCAAGTGGGGGAACTGCTGGGCTGGGGATCCCGCTCCTACATGCCTCTCCCATAGGCACAGAGAAATGCAGACTGAGCTCTTTTTTACCCCCCTTTCTGAGGCATTTCTTCTTGTCTGAATATGTTTTTCCTCACAAACTTGCTTGTATGTCCCTAAATATATTTCAAAGGGCGACATTATTAATTTTTAATAACTGAAGTATTATAATCTGTCATTATAATCATGATGCTGAAAGGAGATTTTTTTGTTGGCTATACTTTAGGCGGCAGCTGTTTTACAGCGTTAGGAACAGCTATTGGTGACCAACCTAAAGTCTGAACTTTTCACTGAATTATTTTGTGGGCTCGGCTTTGGCATTGCACGCAGCTTAGATGCAGTTTCAGCCTCTCCTCTATAATTGGTACGAGTTATACGCAATTACAGACATAAGGGATTGTCGTTTAAAAATAAATTAAAAGAAACCTGGCATGCAAATTTAAGATGAAGTTTTCCTGCCCAGCGATATTTTGGAAAATGTCTGCTTTTAGATCCAGAGTGCAAAAATGCAAATGTTTACATTAGCAAGCCGCAAGCCACATTTTCAAAAGCAAAGATTCCAAACCGTGCATGAGAAATCAGTGTGCATTTCTATTTCTACACGGGGAAAAAAAAAAAAAAAAACAGGTCTCTTTCTATAGGTGGCTTTGTACCGAGTGTAATTCACTTCGGCAGCACGTGGGCTGCCCAGCGACACAGCGCGGCTCGTTTCGATGGGACTGATGTGCACTGCGGGGACATTCCTAGGAGTGAGGCATGCTGCTGATCTGTGCTGCATTACCCTATAAACACGGATCCCAGCAATCTCAGTCCCGTCCGGCACTGTCCAGCTTCTCCTCAGCCAGTCAGCATCCCTCACATCCCTTCCGTGTCCCTGCTTTACTGCAAGGAGTGATTGAATGCAGAGGCTGTCATTATGTTCAGGGCTTCGTGTTATCCCTGTTGGCTTCAAGCATAAAATCAGAGGAGAGCCTGAGACAGCTCATAAAAGTGGAGTCACGTGCAGGGAGAAGAGTATAGATATCATAACCTATGTGTGAAGGAACAGAGAGGGAGGTTATGATCATTGTCTAAGGAGATCTGTTCAAACAATCTAATAGAAAGATGCCTGCTTTGAATCAACATTACACTTTTGCTAGGGGTTACAATTTACAGTTCCAGCATGATCTTTTGAGATCGGGCAAATACATTTAATATAGAGACATTTGCGCAGCTTCCCAAACATGCATCATGCCTTGCACCGCAAGCTCTGCAACTTCTTTCTTTTAATCAATAGCTCATAAGTATTCATTGAAAGATATGTTGGTATTCTGTGGGCAAAACTTGCAGAATCGCCACCACTGTACCAAAATCAACGTTTACCTTTGAACCTTTCTTGGAACTGACAAAATAATGGCACACTTAAAGAATTTTTAATTTATTACCAGCAGTGAGTTTGGATGTGCGCTATATAAACCACTACCACATTTTCCATCTAGAAATCTGTTAAGAAAGCAAAGGAAAACTATGATTCAACAGCCGGGTCCATGCCATGAATATGCAAAGGAGACAAGGGAAACTTTACCTCCGCGCTTCCTTCTGCAGCTCCAACCCTCCCTGCAGCCCTCTCCTCCCAGAGCCACCCCCTGCTCCACCACTGCCTTTGCATCACTGATCCTAGGGCTCGGGCTATCTGCTCACCTCATGTTCACAGAAAAAAAAAAAACAAACAACAACATTTTCAAAGGCTGTGAGCTTTTCTTTCTGCGTGTGGAAATATTTTGATTGCCATTAAAGAGATGACTACTCCAAGCCTAGATATAATTAAAAGATGAGGTGCATTTTTAGATACGCTGACTAGTGTACATGCTGGGACATGAGAACATGTCATCTTCATTAGGATTTATTTTGTGGTTAAAGTAATGCGCAATATTTTCTCCAGAGTCATCACTATTTAATTTATTGCCTGAAAAATAAATTAATTTTATTCCCAATTTTTAATAATATATTGCAAGAGCCAAAAAAAAAAAAAAAAGTAGTTTATATTGAAAGGGTAAAATAGCTGATGTCTTGTGTACAGTGCTGGATAGGAAGCTCTGAAAGTATATACAGACTTCAGTGGTCATGCTGTATTAAACTCAGTGGATACAACTCATGGATATCTCTCAGCATACAAAAGTGATCACTGTGACTATTTTTTAATAAAAGCATAAGAAAGTAAATGAAGACAGAAGGCCAAAATTGTTAAAGGAATTACGTGATTTGATTTATACTCTCTTGGCAGTGTCAGCTGGGGAGGAAAAGTGAGGAAGAAAAGTGTCACCCTCCCAGGATAAAATTCTCATGTCTCATATTTCAGTATTTAGAGATTTTTTTCAGCCTATTGCTAAGCATTTTCTCAACATCCTACTCAAAACAAGCCTCATCAACAAGAGAAAAGCTCCATCTTTGACCAGCCTATCCACAGTGAAGAGGCTGCCATTCAGCTGCCTGTATCCAGAGATGTTTAATAGCTTACGCAAAAGAGAAAATGGGTTGAGGTAGTTGGGAGCAGCACTATCTCTGACTTTGGGCTCAGGAGGTCCCCCAGGAGCAAAGCTCAGAGGTTTGTGACCCACAAGGAGAGGAAGAAATGGAAATCTCCCTTCCTTGTCTCTGTATTTGGGCTATGAAGTAAAAGATTTACCCGATTTAATAGGCAACTCCTTATTTGATTCTTCTTTTTTCTCTCCCAACTCTCTTCAGCCAGACCACTCAAAATAATTCAGTTTTAGTTCCAAAGACAATGTAAGATAATCAAAGTGCATTTTTGGCTAATATCCTATTTTCAAAAAACTCTGATATGTTCAAGGATACTCAACATGTGTTGCTGGGGAGCTACTCTAGTACCGAGCAAAATTATTTGGATGTGATTTTAAGCCTTATTCCATCCTTTCCTACGTATCCCTCTTCCCAGGCGCTAAGCCTTCTGCTGCCCATCTTGATTTGTCAAGTGTGATGTTTTTTTCCACTGCTTCAGAATACTGTTACAGAAAAGGAGTCAGTTCTGTCCCATAACTTCGTATACAAGAAGTGGTTTCTGACTGTGACTTAAACCAACAAGTAAGCTCCAGAGAAACAATCACATGGCAGCCCTTTGTCACCAACTACACCAGGAAATCTTGCCATCTCTCTGTGCGCAGTTCATTGTAAATGAGTGTCCTCATGCAATGGATGTTTTCCATGTAGCTGCATTTGTCCAAATGATTTGTTACTTGAATGATATATATTTTCCCAATGGAACAGAACAAATATATATGGTACCACAATAGTTGTCATAGTCTGCCATTCTGCTGAATTGTCATGCATTATAAATTCATATTTCTGTTCTGCCCACATTTTACCATATAAATATATATATATATTTTTTTTTTTTTTAAAGGAAGGGAAAATAGAAGAGAGGAAAAATCGTATTTTAACATTTTCCTTCTTTCTTCTTTCTCTTCTCCCCAGACTGAGGAGCCTCCATACCAACGTGCACACTCACAACAGATCACTGCATGGTTGCAGGTAACTGGGGACTTCAAGAATTGTGTTGGTCTGCCTGTATGGCACTTTGACTCCATCCACCTGTTGACTACATCTGCTTTTGTTAACTACATAATTAAGAGCTTGGTTAAAACAAAGAAAAGAAAATTCTGATGTGCATAATGGCTTATGCTTCTCATTTGTTTCTTCAGTTTTAGCCAAACTTGAGGGAAATGATTATTCTATAAAGGATGTATTTTTGGAGTAGATTTTTGAAGGATTTGCAGAAATCTTTTAAGTGTGAATGTCATGCTGGCCACAAAACTCTGGATTTCAATTTTCTCAAAAGGCTAGGAGGTAAGCTATCAGTTTGGGCCTGGATCTCATTCAAGCTGAGCATAATTCAAGATCCTTGCAACAGATGAGCCTTCTTTCCTGAACTTCCGCAGCAGGTTCAAATGTTTACTGTAGGTCTCCTGAAGTAAATTCCACCTGAGCCATGATTTAATAATAACAGATGTCCTCTAGTAGACAAAGCGCAGCCCTCAGATGCAGTTGAGTATTTGCTCCAGAATATTAGCCCTGAAGATCTGACTTCATGACCAAAGTATTGACCCAAGAGGTATTTTGCTCTCTCCAGAGTCTAGAGTGACCAAACCACCCTTGGGGAGCAGTTTGCCTTGATGAGCCCCATCTGCTCTTCACCTCCCCACTTGGAATGGCTGCTGCTTAGTAGGCTCACTGATTCCTGCTTTGCTTTTATTTTCCAAATCCCTTGCTAAAGGCTGGATGGCAAACACCACACAGGTGCCTGGCCTCATGTGAGCCATGGAAGAGTCATCACAGGGGAAGGGCACCACAGACCAGCAGTGCAGAAGCAAACATCTCCATTAGCCCATTGACTGCACTGTGAATCAGGTAGTCCAGCCAGCAGCATCTTCCCATAATTGTTTGTCTTCCCTAATTAATTAAAGATGGGCCAGTAAATAAACCCCACTCTCCCAAGTTTTCAATATATTTATCATCCAGAGCTGGCAACTCTTCCGCACCAGCTTCCTAATAAATACCATCCACAGGAGCTTTGTGCGTAATTTCTGTGCAGATCCAGCTTGGTCAGTATTTCCAGCTGTTCCACTCAGATCTGTATGATGAGAACAAGCTATTTCTGAATTTTCCACAGCAGTTTATAAATAGTCACATGATAAACAGTGGGTTGTGCTGTGTGCAAGAAATTCAGCAGAGACATGGCCACAGAATATATCATTCCTTGTTTAGGAGGTAAAAGGGGCCTCAGAGATGCTTCCAATCTCTGTAGTTTTATGCAGATCAGGTAGAACAAGGGCAGGTCTCTGTAAATGTGCTTCTACATCATCCCTCTGCTTTGACCACCAGCCCCATTGACCTGGATGGTCCACCTCCATCTTGGTTATCAGTGCCGTGTCCATCTCAGTCATAAATGACACCTCCAACCTGGTCTGCTTGGGAGCAGCCATCCCATGCTGAGCATCACCCCAGGCTGCAGGGAGCTTTCCTTCCGCTACAGCACCAGCTGTCTTGGGGACACTGAATTTAGACCACAAAATCTTTTTCGCCTGGACCGGCAAACAGCCATCATCTGGGAACAATGAGAGCTGTCAGGATGGGGGAAGGGAATAGGGCAAAGCGAGCAGGGGTTTGAGAGCCGATCGGAAGGAAGGAAACACTCCTTGTGCAAATTTTGCCCTGAAAAACACAAACTTCATTAGCTGGAAATGAAGGCTTGGTCTATTGAGATGTGCCTTGCGCTTGGAGAGTAGTGTAGCAGGGACAGGTGACCTATTTTCCTTGGAGAGGAGGGAGAGGCTTCTCTCTATCGATCCCACTCTTCCTGTATCAGTTTATACACTAGCTTCTATGGCTTGAGAAGGAAGCAGCTAGCAATGCAGTGAATCATACACAATGAATAAATCATCTGACTAATTTAGCTTGTTTTTCTGCTCATGTCTGTTCCATGAACAGTTCACCATTTCCCAAAATGTATGTATTATTCAGATTTATCTTGTGGTTTTGGGGGCTGTTTTTTTGTGTTTTTTTTTTCTTTCCAACTTTGCTGCAAGTTAACAAAAAAAAACAAAAAACAAAAAAAAAAAAAAAAGAAAGAAAGAAAGAAAAAGAAAAAGAAAAAAAAAGCTATTAACTCAGGATCACACGTGAGGCTATGCTCAGCCCCAAGCTGGATAAGCTCAGTGTGGCTGCTGCAGGTATTTGCAGAAAAGGAAAGAAAAGGAAAGAAAAGAGAAGAGAAGAGAAGAGAAGAGAAGAGAAGAGAAGAGAAGAGAAGAGAAGAGAAGAGAAGAGAAGAGAAGAGAAGAGAAGAGAAGAGAAGAGAAGAGAAGAGAAGAGAAGAGAAGAGAAAAAGAAAAAGAAAAAGAAAAAGAAAAAGAAAAAGAAAAAGAAAAAGAAAAAGATGATCAAATTCTGCAATTCTGCAAGCCGCTGAAGATATCAGAATCCAAAGTTCAGTTTCTCCAGATCCACATATTCTTCAGGATAGGTTTTCCCAACATCACAGTCACACAGACACCCATGGTGCCAGCACAACTGAAAGAAAAATGTAAGATCATCAAGATTAGTGCAAGCACTTTTTTGCTGCATGTGTGGATTTTAAATCCAGTGGGAACCATTAGATCATCCGATCCAACCTTCAGCACAAGTTGAGCCATAAAATTTCCTCCAGTCTCTCCTGTATTGAGCCTGATGACTTGTATTTACCCAAACTATACCTAAATCAATCTAAATGCTGGCCTGCACCCACCTCAATGAGCAGCATATGTGGGGTCATGTCACCTAGATGATCTCTTGGCTTCAGCTCTTGCTGAAACAGTGGTAAAAGCAATGGAGAAAGCTCCAGTGCTGGATTTGGACAGGGTCTGTAGGATTCAGAGCCCACAGTGAGAGCAGGACCAGATTTGGGATGTGTTGTCAGCAACTGCAACAGGGATGTGAGGTGCAGCAGAGCAGCATAACTCCTCTGTGTGTGTAGAGCTGCTCAAAATGCATGTACCCTCACTGTGCAGGAGCAGCCTTTCCTGTAAGCCCTCTGCTTCCAAGAATAAGCCCAACAAACTCCAGAGGCTAAAACCCATTCCTTCCTCAGTCATTTCTTTCATCGTTTGACCAACAAGTTCACCTCACTGCCCCTCTCTTCTGCAAGTTTCAGTCACTTGCAATATGCTACTCAACTGTCCTTTATCTGTTCCTATTTCAATACTGTTAAGGTTGCAAAATTAATCTACTGGCATGCACTGAGTGCATGAGATTGCTCTTAGCTGAGTCTTATAGGCACAAGGAGTATTTAAAAGCTCTGAGGACATTGTTGAAGTATTCTCCAGAATTTTTTCATATGACATAATTGATGGAAAGTTGAGTCATGGTTACAAAATGAATGCTTCAAAGAATCTTTGGCATTTTTGTAGGATGAAAGTAAGCTCAGATTTTAGGGTGCTTTATGATGGAAATAAAATGCAGCATTATTTGTAGTATGCTGGAAATTAACAAAAGCCAAATAATCATTTAATACTGCAGTAACTTTTTTAAAAGTTTTTTCAAAATGTTTAAGGTCAAGTTGGTCACAAAATCTGAGACTTTTGTGATCGAGGGGCACTTTTGGTGTTTTCTCAGATTCATTTGTGTTGTATAGATGAAAGGGATGTTTCTGGTTATGTTACCAGTGATATCATTAGAGGAAAAGATGCTTTTGTGAACTTTATAAAGAATAAAAACTAAAGGAAAATATGTTTAGGAAGAACATTTCTTCCTAGACCTAGCTGCCTATACTTTCAGTTAGAATAGTGATGGCTTATTTACAGTATACCTCTCTTGTAAAACTTCCTCCTGCTAACACAACTTCAGAATTAGCTTTTTTAGCAAACTTAGAGCCTGCTGTGTACAGCCATTATCCCCGGAAGCTGTTTTTACCTCTATTTTGAGCAAGTCTGATTGATATTAATCTGAACACTGCTGTTGGAAATAAGTAAATATCTATAACTGAACTCTTGTGTTATTATGAAATCTTCATCAAGATTGCTAGAGTCACACACCTACAGAAGAAAATAATTATTCAGCTTACTGGGAACATAAATTTAGGATGTCCTGAATATTTGCTATTCTACAGCAACCAGATATCTATCTCAAAGCTGGTTGTAATACTATGCCAGAGAATTGATTTTTTAGTTCAGAGAGAGGACAGATTTCATTACAAACGTTCAGAGATTCAACTTAAGATGGTTTTGCAACATGACTAACTTGAATATATTTAGAGCTTGAAGTATAACGTGCTTTGGTGGCTATAAACTGTCTGGAGACAAATTCTAAGTCTGGTCAGTGATACAGTAGAATCCTCCTGGTGACCAAATTCAGATGTCTTGGTTTGCTTCCACCCTGACTTTCGTTAGCAGGCATTTCATGTCTCCTTCCATCTTGTGAGAATAGCAAATGGTGGCATGGCAAAAGTACTAAGTACTTACTTTGTCTTTTGATATTTGGTCTCACTGTGGGGGGCAAAGATAACTCTGTGTTTGTGAAATGGCCTACAAGTTTCTATGTTTATGTGGTTTTGTTCAAGCCCCAACACACAAAAATTGTTTTTCATATCTATTTTTGCTAAGTAGATGACCAAGATTCATTGGATACTTAGTATTCCTAATGTGATACTGTAGGCAATTATGTATTACAAAAATGAGCAGATGTATCTACTGTTCTTGGTGGGCTATACCATACTCATCTTGTCCTGTGAGTCTCTTTATTCCCACACATCTCAATGAAAGTACAGTTTTAAACTGATGTGATTCAAGTCCCATGCATCTTTTTCCTATCCAGATCAGCACCCTTTGGATTCCCATGGACCTCCTGAGGGTCAGCACTCTTATCATACCAAACCAGTAAACATTCACAGAGATCTCCTGCACCTGTATTTCCAACTTTCCAGAGGCAAAGGCAGACTGGATGTGTTTAAATGATCATGATTTATAGTAGCTTCATGTTAGAGATGTCTATTGCTTTTGTGAAGATGAAGACTATATGCTCTTTGGATTCTAAACAGTTCAGTAGCAGATAAAAAGTATTCATCTGGCTTTCACTTTGCATCTGGCCATAGTGCTTTATGATGGTTTAAGCACAATGCCAAAGACTCCATCGTAGATTCCATCCGCTTCTTTCTGTAAAGCACACCTTGAGCCAAGTAAGCAGACTTAGGGAGTGACTTCCTTCACTGTGGCACATTGAAATGGATCATAAGTATCTGTTCTTTCATCTGTTTTATCTTCCAGCAACTGGATATTGGCTCCAGAATGGTAATAAAATGAGCATCATCACATTTATTCACCTTGCCATGACACATTGGTTTTGGGCAAACAAGTCTATTTGATTTGTCTGTAGGTTCTGAGTCTGGCAATAGGTCCAGTTCTAGCAATAGGTTTTGTTAGTCTTCATTCTTTACAATTATGTCATTACTGCCTGCAAACTTTTTCTTACATGTTACTCTGCTAATCATTTTAAAAAATGATTCTAATATTCATTTAGATTTACCTCAAGAAATTGTCTTAGTCAATAAAATTAATGTATTTAACTGGGCCGTATAGTCTGGAAGGCATTGGTGACATTGGAACAGAATGTTTTTAACTGATTACATTAATTAGAGCAATTTAGGCAACGTGACACCAAACTCTGTGCCAGTGGGAGGGATCTGTGGAGTGAGAGAGCATCTATATTTGATTGATAGCATTTCCATTACTGAGTAAGACAACTCACTCTGTTACATGGATCTCACAACAGCAGTGGCTCCAGTCTGCAAAGAAACAGCTGGGATGGCTTTAGAGATGCTTAATTGAGAAAGTACTTTGGGGAAGCTATCATCACTTGGAAAGAGCCTGGTAATAGCTCTTCAACTTTCTAGCTGCAAATGAGCCAGTTGTTTTGTTTTTCCTTTCCACCTACATTAAAAGATCAGATATACTGTACTTGGGCTGTTGCTTCCCCCCATGTATTATTTTGTATTTCTCAGTAGTACCATAATATTTTGATGGTTTTGATGCTGCTGTTATTTTACTAAAGTTATAGACTCCTCCTTGTATCTTATCCCATGCATACCCTTTCCTTCTCTAGTTGCACTGTGTGTCTCTTTTCTTACCAAAGATAACCAGAACACTAAACATGGCAATGCCATGGTCTCCCGGTTATCTCTTTAAATATACTTCAGTCACAGTCCCCTCTTGGTACACCTAAGGAAGTAGACAAGCTCTGCTGCTCACAGAGGTAGGGGTAACAGCACACATCTGATGCATGGTGCCCAGTGGATCCAGAGATTTTGTTGAGCAGGAGACAAAGTAGCTGACACCCTTGAACCACTCTCTCACATCAAGTGCAGTAAGCTAACACCACCTCGATGAAAAAACAATTGCTGCGAATTCATTCATGTAAACTGAGTTTAAAAAAAAGTCAAATCACTCAATACCAGACGAGAGAAAATGAGTTCAGGTTATTTAACTATAGATATAGCTGGAAGATAAGAGCCGGGATTTGGCAGTCTAAAGAAGGAAGAAGCAACACACTATGCGTTATTGTACCAGGGAGGCTCACAAGTGGTTGTAAATTCTCAAACAACCTGGCATGGTATGTTGTGAAGATTGAAAGCTCCTCTACATAGAGATCCTTCTTCTCCCGTCCCTAAGAGGATTTCTAAAAAAAAAACGTGCTGAAAGCAGCTGTCGGCTAATGTGACACACAGCACCACTGTAAGAATGGATCCATTAGCACTGGCGAAACAGCAGTCCTTGTCAGTACCTATGAATGAAACTGTCCCAAGGAATCTGTGGAACAAGGCTGCATATTTAGGAATCTCAAAAGGGAGTCAAAACAAAACCAAGTGGAGCAGGAAAGCAGCGCAGACACGTCAAAGGCTGCCCACATGACTCAACCAGTCACCGACCTAAAGCCAGCGCCACACAATTGCTTCTGAAGCTCACAAAGGAGCCAGATGCTCCTGTTGAAATTATACCTTCTGCAAATCAACATGGGAAACCTGTCACCGCCCTTTCTAAATGGAGGAATATAGGTACCGTTCTCTTGACTAAAATAATATCTTTTTGAATTGAATCACTATTGTGAATTAGTTGAAGAAAGAACAAGAGCTGTTTGCTTTGGACAAGTATATTTCCAGGCATGTCACCCCCACAAAAGATCTTTCTTTTGCTCTACTTTCATGCGACGCTGAAAACAAATATCTAGTGGGTACGATCGGGCTGGCTCCACATCTCCAAACAAGACAAGAGAGCCAGTGGCAAGGCGAATTCTTCTGTTGCTCCGAGCTAATAGATATTAGGAAGAAAAATGCAATTCTTCTCTTGGCCGGCTTTGAAAGGTACTTAACTTTTCATTCACAACATGCTGCTGACATCCACAAAGCTCAGCAAGGCAGCGAATATCATTGGCCTGCTTCAGAGACGAGGGGAAAATGGGTTGCCTGAGGTCTCACTGCACGTCACAGCAACAGCCCTGCAGAAACAGAACCAGAGTGCCAGCCCCACGCATACCCCAATGCTTCTCACCTCCTTCCATGGTATTTTGAGCATTGATCAAAATTTGAGTTAGTGGAGGGTGTGCCTGGGTCAGGTTATAGTCTCACAGCTTGTCCTACTACTCAGATTAATTGTTCTAATTAGTTACTCTGCAGGCAAATAGCTATTGGTTTCAGACATGGGGCCAAGAATGATTCAGAGAAATAATCAACTGGTACTTCCTCTCAGAATTTGCCACCCACCTAAACTGTAAACATCCCATCTGAGCCACAGAGTAGTGGCTCAGAGAAGTAAACCAGGTTAGTGTTACTGGGTGGCTTTCTTAACTGCTTTTTTAATATCAGAAGAAGATTATATTGATAAAGTATATACAATTTCATATATTACAGCATGCAGAATTACATTTTGGGAGTGTTCACTTCTCAGAATGAGAAGAAACGTTGCCACCTCTTTGTGGAGTAAAGCTACCTCATCTTGTTGGAGAAAGGAATGCCAAACAAGCCCAAAATAGGCCTAGGAAATGTTAGTGGAACAAAAGATTTCAAGTATAAGACTCAGATTTGTACACTGTAAGTCACAGCAGAGGGAAGGGGATTTTTGGGCACCACCTTATCTCAGCTCTTCTTTATATTTGCAATGATTTTTCTAGAATGAAAATGCTGAATGTGGGAAAACTTAGCAGTCACTAAGCACAATGTCCACCACATCGTCTGCTTTGTGTGTGTATTAACCATAGATTAGATTGCATGCACAGCACACCTACCCTGTCTCTGTTATTAAAGTGCATATGGTTTAACAAACACTAATGACAGACTCTTTTTATTAGCTTTGCTATGTGCTCTCACAATTACTGTCACTCAGTAGGGTTTATAACTTCCTGCTGTAATAGAAGGCTGCACCTTGCCTGTCAGTGAGCTCTGCACTTGCTTACTGGTTTCAGTAGAAACGTATTTGAGTTGTCCATTGGACCTCAGATGATTGTTATCTTGTAAATTGTGGCAGCATACAAACACTAATTCCTTCAATTTGGTTTGAAATGTACGGGGGGTGGACTCCTTATATCTTTTCATTCGATACCTCTGAATTAGTGACTTTTCAGTAACTTCAAAGAGTACCACTAGAACTGTTTGGGACTGAAATCACCCATTCTCCATTGGCCATTTAATTTTTTCTAAGTTTTTATTTTTAAAAGAGCAGTGGAGAAATAGACTTGAAAAGGTATTGTGCATTGAGAAGAGCATTTGGGTCTTTGTGAAAAGATTTCAGTCCAGATTTCATCTGTGTTGGGAAGAATCTCTGTTAATTAAAAAAGAGTTCAAAAAATTATAGCTGAACAGAAGAGAGTCCTGTAAATGCTTTTCTTTTCCAAGTCTGTTGCTAATTACAACTCAACTGCAGTTCAGTTCATCCTAGAGGAGGACAGGAGGTAATGTCCCTGCTGGGTGGGTGGGTGGGTGGGTATGTAGATATAGGCACCAAAAAATGGGGAATTTATTCCCACAAAGGTAAGCAGGAGCAGAATTGAGCTGAATTATTTTAGCAGGAGCTCCCTGTCAAGCACATCTTTCCAATATTAACTCTATAATGACCAAACATGGCCTGCTGGATCCTACACATTTTATTTTCTAAAATTAGGTCTTCCATGTAACTTGCATGAGAAAGACCTAAAGGGGTCTGGGCAAAACTGTGTTGTTATGTTAGATAAACTTTTATCTGTTGTTTTCATGTATGCTATTTTTATCTTATTTATTAGTTGCAAATGATTCCTATGGAAGAATTGCACCACCTCACCATTTGCTAAGCAGTCTATCACAGTGGTATGAAAGGAGACTGTTGCAGGTAGGTAGATTTTCATTTGTAATTTTTCTACTCCATCCCACTGTTATGTGACGCAGAAGTGTGTGTATGAGCACACCTTCAGAGCTGTAGCAGGGTGTGTGCAAACACAGGGAGAGCTGCTGAGGGGCACAGGGCCGCTGGGACCGCCAGTGGCACCACCACATCCAGCTGTGAGCTCTGCTCTCCTCTGCTTCCATAGATACTATTTACCTACATCCAACACAGTAAGGCAAGTTTCTGCACACTCATAGACACTTTTGCACTTTCAGTATTAACTTAGCATTTTATTGATCATTTGGGAGCAGAATGAAGGCTAATCATTAAGTTTTATGCGAATGTTTCTATTAAGTGAAGCCTTACAGCACGTGTACTGAGTTAAGGGATGTTGCCTATGCAAATGGAAAATAACTCCACATTAAAAGGACATTTTCTGGAGCATCTTTATTCAGTTACATTTCAGCTGATCCGAAGGGTTCTTACAAGCCCTAGCACAGAGGGGCAAAGAGTAGGAATGCAAGCGCAGACAGTAGTTTGCCAGGCCAGGATACTATTTCTCTGCCACGGATTTCAGAGAGAGTTACTGTACACACTGGGTCTGGCATTTGAGACTCCAGGCTGAGCTGGGGGATGGGGGGAGGCAGAGGCAAAAAGCATTTAATATGAACAAAACATTTTTTGTGAAAGTCAAATTCCTTTTTGTGTCCATGTGCCACGCAGTCAGCATTTTTGGAGTCTTAACTGATGCTCTCACACAAGCAAAGTGACTCCCGAAAATGCACCATTACAACTTAATATATCCAGTATGTAATTTGTACTTAGCAGAGAGATATTTAGGACCATTTGCCTCCGCCATAAGACTTTCAGCTGCACAGTGGGAGGTAGCGCTTCAATGAAACCTTTGTTTTTAATCTTCTGATACAGTCACTAAGGCAGTTGGCGGGCTTTAAAATTACATCAGTTTTCTTTTTAATCTGGGGTTTGCAAGTGGTAGTTTTGCAAGCACCCACCAAAGCACGGCATTTCACGGGTGGAACCACCACCCTTTTTCCTCCCGCAGCAAGGACTGAAGTCAGCATCTAAAAATGAATCAGAAGAATTAAGAGGAAAGTTGCCCTGCAATCAGGAGGATTCTCACAAGATCTCAGCCCCAGGTCCATCAGCTCCCTTTCCTCTCCCTAAAATTAGATCAGGGCACAATGAGGACAGAGCCAGACAACCACGGGTAGCAGCGGTTTCAAAGCAGCCCCTCTCCTCACCCAGAAAACCTATTTCGGGCTGCAGCAAGCTGGGTGGCAGTGGGTGCAGGCATGGGGCTGTTGCCTAGTGTTCCACTAAGCTCTGCCCTCCCCTAAAAAAAAAAAAAAAAAAAAAAAAAAAAAATCCTTCATAATTCAGGCAACAGCTGGAAAGCTTAGCTTAATGGCCTGTGCTTAAATGTGGAAGGTCACAGGGTGCTGATCTAAGGAGCGGAGGAGGCTTGCTCAGCCGACTGTTGACGCTGGGTAAACGGAGGAGGAGGGGACGGGTGTGCATCTGAGGACCCGCGCCCCGGCGGGCGAAGAATAGGAAGCGGCTTCTATTCAGGGCTCGCAGGGGTCCGGGACCAGTAGGGAAAGGCAACAAGGCCCTTCGCTGCCTCCGAGTTACCTTGTATTATACCGGGATTAAAGTACATTTAGCTTCTCTATTAGCATACTTTAGCCCCATTTAGGCTTACTTGATGTTTCCGATGGCCTTTGATCAGCCTTGCATGGTGCTGGTCAGCTTCGGGACACAGCAGTCAAAAAGCGAGACTGTGAAATTATCCTGATGTTGAATCTCACAGGAGATATTTCTGGCTGTTTTCATTCACTTGTCCCCAATCTTTGGCTCTTTCTCTCTCCCTCTCTTTCTCTCCGTCTCGGGAAAATAATTTACACATTCTTTAAAAGGAGAGGGAGAGAAAGAGTGAGATATTAAAAGAAAAAGGTAGCTCAGTGACCAGCAATAATTAGCTCCATGTTGGAAATCAAGGCAGCCTTGTGTGCTGGTGGAGCATCTATGAAAAATACTGTAATTTCTACAGTGCCTGGCTTTTTATTGCTTACATTTGCATATAAATTAAATCCATATTGTAGCTTTAAGGCAAGCGAGGCTTAGAACGCTGTACAGCTCAGGGTCCTATTGTTTTACATCTACTTTCTATACTGTGGTTAAATGAAAAGGGAGGAGAAAGTAAAGGAGGGAGAAAGTCGGCTTCATAGCCTTTTTAATTGCTTCTCTGCCAATTACAGCCAAATTAATATTTAAACTTTGTAGTGCTTTGAGAAATTGTTTACAAAATCCACTTCCCAATGTTCAGCGCTGCCTGCGCCTACAGCAATATTGGTGTTGGAATGTTTGGTCGGAGAAAACAAGAAATAATTACAGATAAATTCTGTTTTCTTTTAAATTGTTTTATGGGAAAAAATGCTGTTCATTGAGCCGTAAACCTGCCGAGCACGGGCCCAATCCTGACTCTCAGAGCCGCGTCCCTTCACCTGCCAGTGCCTATGGGCAGCGTCTGTTCCCCGGTGCCCACCTCCACCATCCCCTCCACGCGAGGCTCCCTTGGGCCGCGCATCGGGACGGAGCCCTGGGAGACAAGAGATGAGTAACAAGAAGCAAATGGCGCCTCCGAGTCTCCCTTTAAAAATTCTTTAATGAGATACAGTACAGTTGTGTTGTGTTTTTAGTTGGTGTTTTGTTTTGTTTTGTTTTTTCTTGGGCTAATGTCTAGTACATACCAACCACTGGGCCACATTTTTAGGAAACATCTAAATCAAAAGTCAGAAGATTACACAGGGATATGAGAAATGCTGGGGATGGCAGGGGGCCAGGCTGGGCCTGCCCTCTCCTCCAGCAAACAGTTGTTCCCCACGACAGAGCGCTTCTCCCCCTCTCCCTCCATATGCTTCCTTCTCTATCTGAAATGTGGTCAGATTGGTTGCTTCTAGAGCAGCATCTGGTAGCTTATAATATATACCCTCTGGAAGAAAAAAAGAAACATATTACATTTGTACAGGGCAAGACCTCGCTAGAACTCTGCCCCTCATTCTGATGTCTGACATTAGCTCTAATAACCACAGCCCTGCTCGCTGCCATTCCCCACAGAGCCCTGCACAGCTCCTCCTGGTCCCCTCTTAATCTTTTCCTTTTTTGAGGGTTACAGACCTAGTTTCACTAACCATTTTGGAGCCTCCGATCTACAAAGTCGCTGTGGGACTTTGTTGTACTATTTCCATGTCTGTAATATTCCTGCTGTAATTAGGTAATCAAGACTATGCACCTTTCCCAAGTGGCCTTTCCAGGTCGATTTTATTTATTGACTTATTTATCCCTTATTACACATTTCAGAAATACTGATTGTGATACCATCAGCTGGGCACGTCGCTAGTCTTCACAGCTGTCTGCTTTCTATCATAATTTCCTTTTTCCTCTTTCCCATCACCCATTCACTCATTCTGTCTGAATTTTGCAGCTGTTCATATTAATAGAGGATGTTAGAATGGCTCACATGCATGTTGAATTGTAAGCCTATGCATAGATTGTTATGGACAACAACAAGAGCATGGCTTGGGCTGGCACATAAGTGGAGACATTGGTGGCAGGGGCAGAGACAGCCCCTGGATAAATGTTCAGATAATGCCTCACATGAAAAAGTCCTGAGCGGGACTGTGGTACCTGGCTGGTGCTCATGCACTGACGATGTCAGTCTGCATAAGTACTAGAAATACTCTTCCTGAGGAGGTTGACTATTGACTCAGCTGTGTTCAGCAGTAAAAATTCACTTCTCATCTCCACAACAGTAAAATAATCCATCTGTATGTGGATTTCCATCTGTATGTGCAGAGCTTCCTTATCACTTAAAAGACACTTTCTAAGCCCATCCCTTCATTAATCTTTGGGAAATATAGTTAGTATAAAGCTTCATTTCTTTATTTAAAAAATATAAAAATCTTCTTCCTATCTTCACTGTTTCTTGTTCTACAGCTCATGCCCAGCCTCTGGTTGAGTTTGTCCTTTACTTCAGAGCCTTTGGGTCAACCTCAAGCTCTATCCTTAGACAGATGGCAAATTTCCTCATTATGTGTTTCTTTCTGCTGCTCAAGACTGTCGGCATACTCACCACTACGTCCTGGTTTCCAAATATCTGAGACATTTAAACTGTCTTTTTTTTCCATACTAACCTATTAGCTATTTGTTTATTCTTCATCTTATGCTTGATGAAATGCCAATCCTACCAAAGCAAAGCTGACTGTGAAAATGGCACTTTGAGCACTGACGCTTTTTAAATGGATAACTTTAAGCCTTTCTTTCCTTGTCTCCAAAAATGGATAATGAATAAGAAAATAGTGACTATTGGCAACACTGACCAAGGCTTCAGCTTCAGTCACAACCAAACACAGCTTAGTTTGAGCCTCATAAAATTTCACTCCTTTATTTGCCATTATCTTTACTTCTTTATTGTTCCATATTCCTTCAAAATCAGGGCACTGGAGCCCCATCTTCAGCAATCCACCTGGCAGAGGATGTGCACAAGATCTCCCACCCTTGTGAAATGTTCAGCCTACACCTGTTAACCCACTAGATTTATGGAGCTCAAACGGCTACAAGGGCAAAATAAATTGAGTCCAAACTCCACCGCATTTCTATTCCCCTACGAGTGGCTTTCCTCAGTGTTTGTTAGCCCTTCACATTTTAGCTTTGTGTGTTGCAATCCCCATCTTCTGGCAGTTTATCAGCTGTCTCCAGTATCAGTTTCAAAATAGATACTAAATACCGCTCTCGCACCTTGCAGCGGCACTGATTTTCAAACGAATCAAACAGCTTTTCTGCTCTTCAGCCGTCAAAGATTATACGCTGAGAATAAATTACTCAGCTGGGTGCGTTGTTTGTCGGCAAACCCAGGCAGTGACAGCATCGGTAGTCCCTGTGTTTAAAAGCATGTAAAACACCTTCTCTGTTCTGTGCTTTACATT